GAAAACACAATAGCCGGGTGTATTCCTATTTGGAAATCAGAACATGTACAGAAAGCCGGCAGTTGTCACGGTCATACAATACTAAATGTAAATAATTAAGTAATGATAACCATACCACATTATGGTATCGATGCATATAATTTAAATAGATAAATAATTAAATATAACTTAAGTAGTAAGTAAAACAATACTGCAACTAGATTGAATTTCACAGATTTAATAAGCATAATTTGCAAGCACTTCCGACATAATGCAAATTGAAATAAATGTCATTATTATTCGTTAATATCCTATTATCTTCATCAACATATTCTACACAGAAAAGTTGAATGGCAGGGCACGCTTATCTACGATGTCGCCACAAACTGCAGAATAAAAAAAAGATAATGCTTAACATTAGGAATTGAATAATAAGTTCAAATGATTCAGCATCCGTTAGTGCAGTACCTTGAACTCACAGTTAAAGTTTATTTGATCAATTCATCATTAAATTTAAAGCTCGAAGAAGTGGAAAAGAATAATATGGCAGACATTAGATATATTAGCTATAGAGCAAATTTGAAAAAAAAAAACTTTTCATTTCACATTGTAATATTCAAATTGTCCGTACTGTGCCATGCCTTTACAGCATAGCATAGCCCTCCTTCTCTATACAATATATTCATGCTATAGAGTGCTTAGGAATATGATAATAAGATACTATAATTAATACGATAAAGATGTAGGACTGCATTTGCTACTATTGGTTTCGTATTCGAGTCTGCTAGGGTTAATCTTCATTATGGCAAATGCACTAGTATATACGTACATAGATTTATTTGCGCGGAGCGTGTATAGTGACGTAACTTGTAGTTAATCAAATTAGAACCAATTGCAGCAGTTTCAGTAACCATGCATCCCATGAAGGATTCGATGCAACTGAATTCAATCGATTCATTTAAAAAATGTACATTGTTTTTCTAAAACGTGCAAAAGTTATGTGAATTATAGCAAAATGTCCTCACCCCCGAAAATTGCATGACTGTCCTCATCAGAAATACAAGCGTATCTGTGGTTACATGCATCCTCTACTTGCACGCATTCATTATCACAAAGATTAATTGAACCGTCTGGGCAAACTGAAATTAAAAAAAATCATTTATTAACTTCCTTTACAGTAAATAATGGGTTTGTTATCCAGTTTACCTACAACATACTTCCGGTCATCCAGGCGTAAACCACTACAGGGCAGTGTGCAACAGCCCAATCACCCTATTGTCAATTTCAATATTGACCAAAATACTGTACTTTAGTACAAAATCTGGATGTTTTGGTAGCAAATAACATTATTTATGTATATCGCACCATCAAAACTATAACCAATCTATGATATGTTTATTCACCAGAGCAAAAATCTCAAACACAAAAAGATCGGTTTGATGTCATCTGAAAATTTAGACCCCTACGGTAGTAGGTATGGTATGTACTCCTGATATATTGCATGTCTGCTGCAGATGCGTTGATGTACTTGTTTATATTTGTGTGGGAGTAATGCACAGAAGTGTCACCCCATACATGTAGAACCATTTCAAAAACATTATCTATTAAGTAGTAGCATACAGCAGTTTTCTGTTCCACATTAAGAGAATACTTACTACACACAGTGACGTCATTTGTTCATGTATTTTTGTATCAGTTGGACCTGAAGAAAATTGAATACAGTCTAGCGACTTAAACGCTATTTTGAAGGTGTGATACAAATGTTTTCTATGGATGAACCATACCTATTCCATGTTGATAAAATTAACAAATAACAACTTTAAGGACACTAAATGCATCAGCAATGACTCCAGTACCACCACAAAGGCTATGAACCTAGAGCTAGACTTAAGATTGCAACGCATGGGCATATGATTCCAACCTCTGATACAACGTACTGTATCCTGATAACCAGCGGGTAGGGAAAACAAGTTTCAGTCGGCTGCTTGTACCTCATAATGGTATATATATTGGTTCGTCGTATCTTACAATGTTGTCAGTATACTTGATGCCAAAAAATATCCGAATTTCATATTAATACATTTAGTAATGATGGCAACGATAAAACTGAATACTCACGTTCAAAACCGGCTTGTATTAACATGTATGTCTTCTGCAAACTATCAGTAACAGACCCACCAAAGTTGAGCGCACCTAAACATGTAAAGTATTAGTTATATGGCCATTTAATTCCTTGAAAGTCACGTGTTTTCTATATACACATAATATGTGTAATTAGTATTTGTGTTACTTGTAGATAGAGTAGACTTACATTCGCATTTGCTATGTCTCTTGATCAAAGTTTTGAAATTATATCGAAAAAAACACTTTTTAATTTGTGAAAGGTGACAAAACGTGACTTTTGTGATTGGGATTAACCGTATGGGTCAAATGAATGAATGCCTTTGTTTGCGAGCTGATAAAACGCCTTGAATGTCACAATAAGTTTAACTTACCTTCTTTTAGAATTCTCGTTAAAGTATCATACATTGGACACATGTGTGAAAAAAATTCATGATCGCAGTACAAACAAGTGTTTTGTAAGCAGTCTAGAAAGTCAATGCAACCATAATCTACCTCACACATTGCACATCTGATTTCCAACTGATCACATCCTCCTGTAATGATGAGAAAAATGATAGTAAGTACATTGTACTGTATGACAGCACATGCAGACAGTCGACAAAAGTGACAAATACAAATGAGAAATACAAAAGAAATGCAGTGAGACACAAAAAAATGCAACTTACAGACACACAAGAGACAAAACATAAACAGATATACCGAGAAACAAAACAAAAAGGAGACACAATCAGACAAAATATTTCGAGAGAGCACACAGACGCACACACGACAAAACATTAAAAGAACTAATGAGAGACAACACGTGATAACACAGCGAGAGACAAAAACATGGAAAACACAATGATAAAAACAATGATCAACAAAAGATAATTGAAGTAGCAAAAATAAAAAATAAAATAGAGGTAAAAACCGAGGGACAAAATGAGGTAAAGGACGGGGGCAAAATATTAGACAAAGCTTGGAGAGTCAAAACATTGCAGTTGAACGTAAGGTAAATTTTGCCACTATCAATTATGAATACAAGCCAATTATGCTATGCAATCTGAATTAAGTATGTATTTGCACTCATAGATTTCACATTTCCATGAATGTTAGTGTGAATTGATGAATAACACAACAGATTTATTCGTCTTATAAGTTACCTTGCAGTTGATAGCCAACAATAACTTCATATATGTCTTCTTTTTCGATATTAATGAATTCCTGTGAATATATATACTTCTACTCTCATAAAAATGTAAAACAAATCAAAAATTGGATTTGGATAAAGTGGAAATAACATACTCAATTGTAGTATTCAATATCCCATTAGCTAAATACAGTAATTTAATATAGAGAATATAATTGATATACTAATAATCTACATGAAATGTTATAATTGGGGTTCTTGTGAATACTTATCAGGTTTACAATACATGTGTGGTATGAAACATTATTGTGGTTCATAATACATGTCATATATTGGCATAAGATATTAAACCGCATCACATCGGCTGTCAACAGTCGTCCCGACAAGAAAATAGTTGTCTATGAACGAATACAGAATGATGCATTATTGCACACCTAAATGACTTGGAGAAAACTATTTAGAGTGAAGTGATTTGATCATGTATACATATTTCACATTCCTTGCAGCATACAGCATTATTCTGAACATTCGTGTCTGCGAATGGATGTAATTAGCCTGTAGTATACTCAGTCTATGAACCTCTAAAGTCTAAGTTAATGGTAATGAGGCTCAGCATCATTCAATCGGCAATCACTACACTTTGATTATGTCACGTGATAACACGCATGCGCGTTATGTTTGTAGCTGGGCACTTGGGCCATTCACTATTAAATATTTGAATTTGTATGAAAGCTGATTTGTATTTAATTTTTTTCATAAATAATATTTTAAACTAACCTACAGTTTTCCCGCGCTGGTAAACTACTTCCGCGGGGTGTTTGTAATTCATAACTAGTCAACAAAATAACTGAAAATACTTCATTATTTGTTACTTCCACCAAGACGGTATTGTAAGCGTTGGTTTGCCTGTTATCAGGATGACTCAGAAAGTTATAGATACATTCTTGTAAACTGTCACGAGGGCTTTTTCTTGACGCAAAGGCGAACCCGTTTTGGTTCCAATGTATTAAATGTTGTATATATGTGGACCAGGTTACCACGGAAACGGTTATTATTTAAATATTTTATTTAAAACTTGAGGACTTGGTGTACATCAACTTTTTAGGAGAGGTGACATTGATATTGTTCGATAGATTACATTTTGTTAGAGATATTGATCTTGTTGCCATGGAAACACCAAATTCGGGATTCCTCGAGACAACATATATATATTCAAGGCACAATTGTTTTGTTTTTTATTTTCAGAAATAAATCAAAAGCGTATTGTGTGCGTATAAATAGGGTTGTGTGATAACATATATGGCGAGTTTGATTAATTTATCAATTATCCAATTTACTCAACACATTTTTGTAACAACCCAAGTTTTTCAAATATTTGACACGTCATGACGAGCACCACAATGTGCCAATGATCTTTGACGATAATAAGTCGCGTTATACACGACCCAAACTGATGGTAATTTTTCTGGCTAGTGTAAGTA